GCCTGATGGTAGCGGCCTGAAAGGCTGCATCCAATTAGTACATACTTTCCACTCCATTGTGGCCTCGCTACACACCGGTGTACACACCGACGATCAGGCGCTCTTCGAGACCCGCGGACCGTATCTTCGGCGCCTGGACTTTCCTTTCGCTGCGCTGCGAGGGAAAAAACAGTGGAACAGGGGCAAGTTGGAGTTAATGAATGGGACACTCGTTAAAACAGGTGAACTGATCGATAGGGCTTGGGACAACGACTCCGGCAACGATTTCTGGCTGGAAATGGCGAATGGAGTGGGAGTTGAGTATGGTTGTTTGGTCGTTCAAGAGGGGTGTCCAGTTTTATAGTTGGAATAATAAGGGTTTTTTGATCATTTTTCTTTTATCTTGGATGAAGTAGTAAAGGTATTGTGATACTTTTTGGTTTTATAGAAAGGGGAATTTTTGGAGTGTAATAGTAAAATTTGTCGAGTCGTTAAGACTGTGATTTTAGTGTAAAGATTGCTTTTGAGTGATGGAGATGTTTAATATTGATGCGAGGGTACTTTGGTTATTTTTCTTTTTTTTCCCTTTTTGTGCGGTTCTATCGTAACATGTGGTTTGAGTTTTCTGATAAGAAGGAATTAAACGTTTGAGTAATAATTTATGAAAGTTATGCGAAGGAAGTTTTTTTTAATTACCTTTTCTTTTAATGATATGGTAAATCAATGGTTCGGGTGTTATACTGACACAGTATTTATTGAAAAGGATGAATATTACCAGTAATTGTTGTACAATGTCATCACCACAAATTTGTTGAGTATGCAAGTCTTTTTTTTTTTTTAATAATATCTCGTTCTTTGAATTTAGCGCGGTTTATTGCTGCCACCTATCGAGAAGAACCATAACCCAAAATGAAAGCTATTTTTTTTTTTGTAAAAACATATATTCCTTATGCCTATTTATTTGAATCACTGACGAGGTACGCGGTAGATCTATTACCACCGACGAGGTATAGGATAGATCCTGAACCTAATGTATTTTAGTGTCCAATGTTCTGAAATACCGACCGAGTGAAAAAGCAGATGATACTTGATACCTTCTGATAAAACAGCAAGTTTGGGAATTATACACAGTCCAATCATCGAAGATGGTAAAGTCGACAAATGTATCTTGGGGCGGTAACTTTCCACATTTACTTCCTGACCTATTTCGATCGTTTTGGACGATGCAGTTCTTGAAATGACCGTCCTTATGGACGACGTCGGTATTTCAGATTGTTTAAGGGACTTTTAGTCACACAATCTGAAATACCGACAACGTGAAAAACTACCGTTTTTGAAGCGCACTCTACGCTTAAAAACGGTCATTTTAAGAACTGCATCTCGCAAAACGATCGATATCGGTCGTTTGTACATTGTTACTGTGCTGTCAATACACCCATTGATCCTAAAATGCAAATGTGTGTGACTGAATTCATTCTAATTTATCCTCTTGATTCGAAATTTTATCTCCCTCGTTATGTAAAATAACAAATGCCAAGTGTTCTTGATTGCTACCACTAACTGCGCTTTGCCACTAACACCAGTCCCAATCGATACAGTAGGATAATGGTAACGGTGTTCCCGACTCTGCGGTCGTGTGGCAAAAAAATATATTGGATGAGTGGTCTATATCCCGTCTGCAATGATACATCCTTTCTGAATCGTCGTCTGTGATTCAAACTATGCCAAACGAAACAACGTATAATTCTATTTTAATAGTAAGCAAACTACGAATATTTCTTTACTATTTCTGATTACTCAGAGGATAATACAGGAATTATAGTTTCAGCACAGACGAGATTCCTGTACATAATATTAAACATTAATTACTTTAAAATGCACCTTTTCAACAGGAAAAAATTACAGTACCATTCAAACTGGCCCACAATTGTGCAAACACTGGTCACTTCAAGTCTAACACATTTACTTTTTATCTTTTATCTTTCACTTCTTTTCACATGACGTAGATATTAATGAAAGTACGTGAAACGTACAACCGAACAAAAAACTGGGAATACTTACTTGGACGAATTGAATCGTTGGCTACATTTACCACTAACGAAGAGTAAACTACGACTGAGTCTAAATGAATACTACTTTAACCTACGCAACAACGTTTCACGCATTTCGTAAAGCACCGTTTGTCGTACTATTACGTCACCACGGTAGATTGACAAAGGAAACTGAACTTTCGAGCGTTCACTTCACCCAACAAATTAATAAATCTGTTTACTCACGGAAATCATGTACCGATACAATACAAGAAGTCGTGAATGTTGACAAGAGCCGAGCGCGGGAAATACACAACTACGTCACTGCCGATCTCTGAACGCCGGCGCCATGGCCCGTTTCCATGGCAACGTAACAACCCATGACAAGCCGCAGTCCTTACTGACCGTGTTTCTATTCGGACGTTGGTCATACCACTAAAATCACATGAGTAAATAGGATAGAATCATTAATTTTTCACATCCCATATACCAATCCATTTATCTACTAACCACGCATAAATTATTCCTATCGGTTAAATATACCGTGTCAAGTTAAACAATGACAATGCTCCACTGATAATGTCGCTGTGACAATGTCATTGACAGTTACCATTAAAAGAAGCATTCAAAGCTATTTGTCTGTTGAAACTTTTCCCACTTACACTATAAATTAATCAAACAACGTTAAAAAGTATTCAAAACATTATTGCAATGTGAAATACGCATTGTATGTATTCTTCTACGTTTGTATCATTGCAGTTTCCGGATAGATATGAACACGGTCGAAAAAGAATTTTTGAATATTAGCGTTCTTCGTAGTATGCAAATATTCCAACTAACCTTCGTGATATCGATATTTAATTCCCGACGAATTTCGGATAATTTTGGTAACCAAACCTGGTCGAAGAAAACTTTTATAGTTACGTTGCTTTAGACCACAGCAAGAGTCGCGCTCTTTCACGGTACTGATATTCCAATAGAGTGAAAAAAAGATAATTATTCCTAGGTTCGATGGCATAAGTGAAAGGTTTATGAGAAACGAATCGAGAAAGACGATGTGACAAAAGGACTGTAGTTCGAAGTTCAATTATTTATTCAGTGTTCACACAGGAGGTCGTTGATACGACCAATACACAGCGAGAGACCGGTGGTCCGTTTAAATCTCTCGCTGCAATGGACGAGGAAGAAGTAATTAATCGATACCTGAAGAACGTCAGATATTATGGGCGTATCCTTGGTATATGGCCGCTTGACAATAGTTGGAAGCCACGCGTGGTGCCAAAATTGTTGTACATTCGGTGTATCACATCGCTTTTCTCAATGGCACGTTCGATGGAAAACAGTAATAATTAGTCTCATGGGTTTCGTCCATTCATTCATTCCTGTAAACAAACGAAAAGTTTTCATTATTCCTGTGATCATTTGCTACTGTAATCCAAATTTACAATAGTATTCACTGGTAGTGTAGTTCTAATTTTCCAAGTTTTAAATTGGTCACGGAGTAACACAGCGATAGTAGTTCAATTGTTAACCGAGGCAGTTTCGTACCCCTGTGGCTTGACGTGCCCTATATTCGCTGTTGTAAGGATGGTCGCTCGGCTGCGGGGATATATTCAAACGTTAATAACTAAAGAACGAAGCCTCAAACGGAATTTTTTTGTTCTTCATTTTCGTCTTATCTCGGACTCTAAAATCACCTCTCTAATTTTCTCCCAGAAGTAGCCGATAATCCTGTATACTTAAGCACAAATCTAAATGACACATTTTTCTGAATCGTGATAAAGCTAGCTGCAATGTTAGATATCAAAAATCATTCTACACAGTTCGAACCTAAACGCCTCGATTAATAACAATTCAAGCTGAAAATAATTCGAGTAAAAACGTAAGAACTCTCGTTAGTGATAGTGATTTTCGATAATTCAACGTCAGTACTCGAAAATTGAATAATTTAAGAGGAATGTTGAATATGTAGACGTTAGTGATAGTGATTTTCGATAATTCAACGTCAGTACTCGAAAATTGAATAATTTAAGAGGAACGGTGAATATTTAGACGAGAGACAATTTACGATTAAATCATGAACAAGTAGTTCACTTATTCGTGACGGTATTTCTCGACGTGATCATGCCTCTCGGTTACAGAGTGCGAGGATCGTGGTTGCTTACAGTTTTACCGTGCTGACCGAGCAGCTACCGTACTTATGCATCGCGTTAATGATGATCGTAAAGCACGGCAATTGTTTCTTACAATTGTCCAAGGTAAGAGATGGTTTCGTGTCGTTTAGTTGCGTTGAACAAACGAACGTCTACACTTATAGCTCCGTCAGATTGTGACTAATATGATCAGCGATTGGCAAAAGAAAATGATCGACGAGGAGTTGGCGATCATGAATAAGTACGCCAAGAGGGGAGCGTTGTTCTCCTTTCTGTATAGCACTGAGGAAAAGAACAATATTCGACGTGTATTCGCACCTACATTCCATAGGGTTACCCTGCAATCACCGACAAACGTTTCATCGACACTATAAAGGGTGTTCCAGTTATTTTCTTATCAAACTTCATTTCGTATTATTGTCATAACCTTTTAATAAAGACAAAGTTTGATCAGAAAAAATTCGGACACTCTGTAGATTCGTCGACGGTGTGTTTCTATCGAGATATCAACTTTCTTGTACAGCAATGAGTTACTAGCAATAAGTTTTATTAGTAAATATAAATTGTGCACGTCAATAATGAAAAATTTCAGAAATAAAAGAAAACAGATGTAAACTATTCCATGAACTGTACATTATGTAAGTAATTGATCGGTGAATCGAGTACGTTTCATGAAAAGTATAGTCCCATCGCGTGATTTCAAGGTGGTCTCACCGAATGTGACAGAAATAAAAAAAAGAAAACAGCACGATTCGTTACGTTACCGTAAATTATCCTTCTCGTCGATAATACTTTTTATCAACGACAAGCAACATTGAATTTCCGTTTTATCGATACATGCTTCAGTAACTATATACATTGGAGTGTCCGTGTTTTCTACCGCGCCCCTCATACCGTTCATCCTGGACCTAATTTCACCTTTGAACGAGTCTCGTCCACGTTTGTACGCCTATAAAGCCTACTGTTACTTCAATCCGGACGACTACTATTATTACGTCGTGGGGTACACCAGCGCGTGCATAGGAATGGCCGGACTCGTGCTTGTCGGCGCTGACATTATTATGATACATCTTGTACGTCCAACCTGAGAGAGAATTATGCAGCAGAAAAAAATTATTCACATTCGACGATGATTATACAGATATCGTTTCGAGTATGCGGTGGCCACCGTTGAAAACTCAACGAAGGAGGAAATATACAAAATGAGGAGAGCAAGTTATATGAAACTTCGTGCAGCTTTCCAAAGTCACAATGCAGCTATGGAGTTTGTATTTTTTTTTCTCTTTATTTAAATATTACGATCGTGTTGAAAAACAAAATTTTAAAACTCTCGTTATCGAAAGTTTTAGGATACTTCAACGTCAGCATTCGAAAATTGTTATATCTATCAATGATTTGTTAATCGTATATAATAATTTTCATACGTTGTGTTCTTCGATATAGATGTCTGATGAAAATTGAGGCGACGTACACGTTGAACCTGGTTCCTCAGGTATTCATCACGATTGTAGTATTCAGTGTCACGTTGTTCCAGGTATTACTAGTATTATATGGTTAATTGAATTCATTTTTCTTCTTTCTTTTATGCGATAAATGATTTTCGTCGTTTAACCTGCGAATTTTTCGGGAATATCCACGAATATAGATAGCCGTGACAGAAATTAGCTTCGATATATGCAGATTGTGCACGTTCCTGATCGCACAAACTGTACACATGCTGTTTTTGACGATTCAGGGACAGTTCGTGATCGATTCGCATGATACAGTGTACAATGTGTGTATGGTGATTCTAGAGTAATCTGTTCACAGATACGAGGCAATTTGGTATAAGATGCCACCTAAACTTCAGTTGCTAGACGTTGTAGCGCTTAGAAAAAGCCTAACTCCTCCTATACTGACGGCGGGAGGGTTGATGCGGTTAGATTTGAATTCTTTCGCACAGGTGAATTAGATTTTGAGGGGAAAAAAGTGTTCTCTCTTATCGACACTGTTTCATCCAGTATATGAAATATTTTTTCAGCGAATGTAATTTATTTTCAGCTGCTGAAAGCTTGCGTCTCGTATTATACGGCACTGCGACCTAGCTACTCGGTCGAGAAATTCTAGAATTTAATAAAAATCAACAAGCGGAAAATTGAGTTTTGTGTGAAAAAAAGGTGTTTCCAAATAAACGGACAACATTTTGATTTCTTCTGTAGTAAATTTTAGGATTTCATAAAAATCAACACCTGCAGAATCGGTGGGAATTATAATTAAATTCTCTGTGAAAAAGAAGTGTGTACATACATCGTCTGCTAGAAAGATCAGTGATCTACTAGAAAAATATTTGTATAAGAAGCAAAATTATAGACAACGATCTATATTTCATTCCACGTGTTGAGTTGTACTAAAAACGCACTCTAATTCAAATTGCTATCTTTATAATTAAAATAAAGAACTAATTTTCACACGTGCTCCCATAGAAACTGAATTATTCAATTAAATAACACTTTTTCTCGTAAAACTTCTGAAATATATTAACACGACCAAGATATATCGTTTACTCACCAAATATCATCTATACTTTCCGCTTCGACCACATATTAGATAGGTGAAAAAAAAACAAAATTTGGACACGCTCATTCTCCTCGTCTCTGTAAGGGTACATGTCCACTTGAGAGTCTTTTTTACGATAGTTACTCTCCAGGTTACTATCAAATTGGACGTCCAGATCTCCGACAGCTCCGTATACACTAATAAATTTGACTATCGAAAGCAACTCGAGATAGTTTTACTCTCAAATGTACAAGTATTTACCCTTACACTGATGGCACATTCTACGACAATTTGGAATAAAGAAACAGAGCAGAAAGGATGCTTCTGTTTTATGCTAATACTGTTTGTGAACTGTAGTTAACACAGTAATGTGTGAAACCACTACCGACACCCTATTTACAAATGATACCAATTATTATTAATACAACTGCCGAATGGCATTTTCCTAATTGCTAAGCATCTATCGTTGAAACGATTATACTAAATGGAGCGCGGTTAAAAATAATGAAACGTCTACATACATCATGTCCGATGTGAATGCATGATTAAAAGCCACCTCAGCCTAATGGAAACCACATTTAATATGGAACAAAGCGTATTTAACCGACCAGTATGGGCCGATAAATTATTCGAGAAGGTAAATTATAGGACATTAAACTGATACCATACGTTTATCCGTGCTGAATTCTTCTTTCTTTAGCTCACAGTGGGAACTCGATTACCTCTCGAGTAGCACATCATCTCAACCTTAATTTCGATTATGGAACGGAACGAACTGGAGGAAACGTATCTGTACGTGAGCAAAAAATGTGGAGTTGTGGCTGGTATATGGCCGTACGGGAGCGATCGAATAAAATGGATCGGACGAATAACGATGATGCTCATCACTATTACATCTTTAATTACTCAGGCATGAGCAAGCTTAATTGTATTTACATTTTGGAAATCTATAGGTTTTTCTCGCGTTTCTCCTTCGATTTCGGTACACCTACTTTGCCCGGAAGATCAATTCGTAGAGGATGTTGAAAGAAGATGAAGAAACTTAGGAAGAAGCATATCGCAGATAAAGCGATACCGATTCTACATTGTATTTGTTCGATCGTAGATTGCAAACGTCCTAGTCAATCTGAGCACGGATACTGCGATAGAACAGTGCGGGTATTTTATGATGGCCGTGGGAATAATCTTAAAAGAGATGAATTACATAATACACGCGAGAGAGGTGAGATTACTGTATTTTCGTTACATTCTCTGTTGGATGATCGATAGAAATGTATCGTACGAAATTACAGCTGAAAACACTATTCGAATGCACATTCAACGATTGGATAACGAGCCGACCGAAAAGCGAAATGGACATTATGAACAAGTATGCGAGAAGAGGATTGTTTTTCAATCGTTTGTACGTCGGTAGGGTATAATTTGCGTTCACAATGATTCGTTAACCCGAGAAAAAAAGGATTCAATTTGAGATAGAATCGTTTCGTAAAAGATCAAAGGGTCCATGAACATTTTCTTATTCGGTTTCTTTCATTTTCACAGTAACTGGAATATGTTGCTTCACAATGTTTATCTCTGCGCCTTATATACCGCATGTATATGATGTTATGTTATCGAAAAACGAGTCACGAAAGTTGGGTTTCATTTACCCTGCCTATTATGGCGTTGATCAAGACAAGTATTATTACTATATAATAGCTCACATGACATCTGGGGGCTTAGTGGTGTTTTTCACCTTTATCTCCTGCGACACGATTTACATGAATATCGTGCAACACGCGTGCGGATTGTTGTTGATTTCTGGGTAAACGAATTTACAGATTTAATCCGAGTATCTTCTGGGAATTTTCAATCAAATTGAATCGATTTGGAAATGTTCTCAGCCACCGTTTCAAGTGGGCAATCGAAGAGATGGGTGGTAACAATGAAAAATTGAATCCCACGATGCTAGAGGGTATACACAGAAGAGTGTGTCAATCGGTTAAGGCACATCAGCACGCCATAAAGTCAGTATGATCTTTAAGAAATTTTTTGACCACGTTCTGACATACAGGACGTTCAACTAGCTTTAATATTGAATTCAAGGGATTATTCGCGAAGCCATTCTAGGTAAAAAATGTGTTCGTTGAAGCACATACTGCTCGAATGCTTAAAAAATAATTGCCACTCCCTTGTAGATTTCTGTAAATAGGTAAGTTTAATTTCCTTCTTCGATTCACGTTCGATTTTTAATGTAGTAGAGCCTTCACAAAACTGTGTCGACCCATGTGACACAAACTGTCTACTTGGGGGAAATTTTAATCCTTGATAACCAATTAACGAAGTGTCAGATAAAATTTTGTCGAACTTGTTTTTCGACTTACAATGACTTCAAATATTCCCATCTCTATTTAGTACAAAAATAAGCTGAACATTGTATCACGAGTCTTTACTATTTTTTGATCATTTATGTGCAATGTACATGACCAAAACAGTTACATTGAGAGGATTGAAGAAATGCACCATACATACCTGTTCATAGTGGTGCTAGTGGTTGTACTGGCGTTCAGTATCACCCTACTAAGGGTTAGTCAATTTTCAATTCACGTTCTTTCAAATAGAATAAATCTGCTTTAATCATGATACGATAAAATCTTTGAAATAAGGCGTCCATGATGGACCCTTGCGTGGAGTTCTACAAAGATTGCGTATTCTTGGTGGTGCAGCTCGTTCATTTGCTTTTCCTTGCCATACAGGGACACTTCGTTACAGTCTCGCATGACCAGGTTTACGATAGTATGTAAGTAGTCGTTTTAATTTTGTTCTTACGAAATTTGTCGTGTTCGTAAAATGCAATTTAATTCTGTTATACTTCAAAAACTGCGAAAAAGGTATATTTTTTGCTGCTCATTCGCAGGTACGATGCAGTATGGTACAACAGTACGCCAAGAACGCAAACTTTGTACATGCTAGCTTTGAGGAGGACTTTAACTCCACCACTGCTCACTGCAGGAGGACTGATTTCGTTGAATTTGGAAACTTTTTCGAAGGTAAATGTAACAATTAACGTAACGCTTCAACGATTAGAAAAATAAAATAAAATAAAAAAAGAATGTTAGAAGGCATATGAAAAAATACTTGTAGATATTAAAAACTTCTGTTTCCTGGTTCACGGTAATAAAATCGACAGTCAAGCCGGAGGACTGATAACTGAAACGAAAGGAAGAGTACACCAATTGAATTTTGCAGAACTCCTATTTCCTGTTATGCAATTGTTAAACTAGAAGATGTTTTGAGTTTCATGCGTATACATATATCGCCGTTTAATTATTCGAGATATTTTTGTAACAATAGAAATTCTAGAAAACTTGATGTGGGCAAGTTAAGAAATTAGGCAGATTTTAGTCGTACTAGTTGTACACTTTAAAGGTTCTTCATACTTGAGAATCTTTCAATATTCCTTCTTTCGATTGGTCAGAAGTTAACAAAGTGAATGAAATTACAGTCAAGTGGGCCATGTATACTTAAACTGTACTCAAAATACTCTCAACATTTTACGTATAGTAATTTCCAGTAACGTTACTACTGTTAGATACATCTGTGCAATATTTTTCATGAAATTGAAATTGTTATCGTTATAATTCAAATAAAGAACTAATTTTCACAAATGTTCTTGAACAAAAATGTCTTATTCAATTAAGTAACACTGTTTCTCACCAAATTTATGAAACGCGACGGAGATACAACATTTACTCACGAATGATTTTCTACTCTCTTCACTGCCAGCACGTATCAGATGCGTGAAAAAGTAAGATATGGAAACTCGGTAAGGGTACGTGTCCATCGAAGACTTTCTCTACGATAATTCTTCCCCAGAGTATTCTCAAATTGTGTATCCAGCAGTATAAACCGTTTCAGCGATGACACAGTCTGTGACAACTTGTACTAATGAAACAGTGGTATTAAACACAGGCGAAAAGATGCATCTGCTTCTTGCTAATACTATTTGTGAACTGGATATAACACAGCAATATGTGAAACCACAATCGATACCCTATTTACAAGCGATGCCAATTATTATTAATACAAATGTCAAATGACATTTGCCTAATTGGATAGTTCATCGTTAAAGCAATTACTGTAAACCGAGTACGGTAAAGAATAATGAAACGTCTATATTGATCCATTAATGAAGTAAGTGGACGAGTGAAAAATGCTAAACGTTCTTTTACCCAGCAACATGGACTGATAAATTATTCGCGGAGACAAATTAGTACAGTAAATTAACAGACTGGTAAGACAATCCAAGATAGGGTCAGCGCTCTTAAACCCACCAATATGCACTTAGTACATTTTTCGAGCAGGTAGTTTAATAACAGCAAAGTGGCGCCAAAACAATATCCTATATGGCTATGAATTGAATTATTTCCTTTCTTACCGCGCAACGAGAACGAGTTTCGCCGTCGAGTACGCAACATCCACCTTGAACCTCAATTATGGAAGCGGACGACGTGGAGAGGAATTATTTGTACATGACCAAAGGATAATCATCGCTGCTTCACTCGAGATCTTTGCAGAGGTAAATGTAAAGAATTAACACGCTAGCTTCTCAATTAAAAAATAAAAAAAAACACTAGAAGTGACTAACTCCGCTAAAATTATATTTACTAAATTTTTTTTATGAAGATTTAAGCACCGAGCATGTGTTTTGATACTAAAATTGGAAAATTTTCAAAAAGTGGAGTTAAATATTTTGCCTTTTCAGTGGCCACACCAAGATATATCATTTTACTCCCCAATTAGTTTCTATACCATTCACAATGACTTCCCAGTAGACACGTGAACGAATTCGAAATTTATACCGCTTCATTTTTCCATTCTCCGTGACTGTGATGCAAAAGTCCGTGAGAAATTTGAATAAAGAAACGGTGTAGGAAATCGATGCTCCATTCTGTTAGCTAAGCTATTTCTAAACTGAAGTTAACACGGCGATACGTCCGACATTTTCCGAAACCTTACTTCTCATGTCGTTACAAGGGACATACGTTTAATTGATACCAACCACTACTGAAACGTTTATACTCACATAACGTGCGGTAAAAATAATGGAGCGCCGTGCATACGTCATTTCTGAACTAAAAGCGTGATTAAAGCCGGCAGCATGGTGGTAACGAAAAAATGAAAGTCTAACCGTTCTTAGCTTACTGCTTCAAGTGGGCAGTGGAAACTGTGATTACCAAGAACGAGAAGATGCACACCGAAGTGGACGACACGTATAGAAAAGTGCGCCATTCGATCAAGGCTCATCAACACGCTTGCGTACTAATAAATTATTCGTGCCGATACATTAGCACGGCAAACTGGCGCCTAAGGAATATCCCACGTAATGAATCGAATTATTTCCTTTCTTGCCGCACAACGAGAACGAGTTTCACCGTCGAGTACGAAACATCCACCGTCGTCTTAATTATGGAAGCGGACGACGTGGAGAGGAATTATTTACACGTGAACAAAAGATGCGGAACAGTGTCTGGTATATGGCCGTATGGAAGCTCGCGATCAAAATGGATTGGACGAATAACGATGATATTCGTTACAGTTACAGGCATGATGTCCCAGGCATGGGCGCAAGTTTGACTATATTTACAATTAAAATTTTATTATCAGACTTTATCGAATCTTCTTATCAGAATTTTCCTATCGGAAGAACTTTGAAGAAACGAAGAGGCACAAGATGAAAATATATATTAATATGTAGTGTTTGTTCCATGGTAGATTGCATACGTCGCGGTGAATCTATCCATAGATAATGTAATCGAACAATGCCCATTTTTCACAATCGGCGTGGGACTACTTATAAAGGAGGTGAATTACATCCTCCACGAGGAACAGGTGAATACTCTGCTATCCGTTATCTCCGACACATACGGTGAAATAACTAATTGAGACGAAAATTACAGCTAAGATCGCTTTTGGGGTGCATATTCGATGATTGGTTAATAAAGCGGCCGAAAACCGAAATGGACATTATGGACAAGTACGCTAAAAGAGGCCGGTTTTTCAGTCGTTTGTACGTTGGTAGGGGAAAAATTCTCGTTGAGAATGATACATTCACGAATACGTCGCTTCGAAATCGAGGATAAAATATGTCTATTTCAGTGTAACACCCCTTCGTAAACGCTTCTTCTGCTAACTAACCCAATTAATTCATTCGTCCACTATTCTTACTCTTATTATTATTATTCCTACTTCTCTGTATTTCACAGTAAACGGACTGTTTTGCTACGTTATATTCACCTCAGTGGCGATTACGCCTCGTGTTCTCGACCTTATTTCACCGAAAAACGAATCGCGTGGGGTTGACTTCATTTATCCTGCATACTACGGTCTCGACGAGGAGGAACATTATTACATTCTGATGGGTCACATGCTCTGCGTGATAACTGTAGTGTTTTTCGTGTACATCTCCTGTGACACGATCTACATGAGCATCGTTCAACACGCGTGCGGATTACTGAACGTCTCTGGGTAAACTATTTCTGCGTGTAACTAACGATATTACCTGGAAATTTGGATTAACACCGAATGGAAATATGCTCGTAGGCATTGCTTCAAGTGGGCAGTGGAAACTGTGATTACCAAGAACGAGAAGATGCACACCGAAGTGGACGACACGTATAGAAAAGTGCGCCATTCGATCAAGGCTCATCAACACGCTATGGAGTAAGTACGATTATTTAGAAATAAATTCGACCTGTTTAGAATATTCGTTCTTCCACCATCATTTACATACGTTTATTCAATATATGTGTAAAATAGATATATTATGCAGATCGAAGACGTTCACGACTCGTACCTGTTCATAATAGTCGCTTTAATCATGCTGTCGTTCAGTATCACTCTAGTCAGGGTTAGTCAATTTTCCATTCCACGCAAAATAAATATAATCTGCTTTGTTAAATGATATAATCGAGCGTTTGAAATTAGACGTCCATGATGGACCCTTGCATGGAGTTCTACAAGTATTGCGCTTTCTTGGTGGTGCAACTGGTTCATTTGCTTTTCCTTTCTATCCAGGGACACTTTGTTATACTCTCGCATGACATGACTTACGACAACATGTGAGTAGCCGTTCTTACGCGAATTTCACTGGAAGTTAAAAATTGCCAGGAAATTTCACTCGTTCAAAAAAAAAGAAAATGCAATTATCAGTTCTATCGTACCTCGAAGATTTCAGGAGTTGTTCGTTCGCAGATATAGCGCAAAATGGTACAACAGTTCGCCGAGAACGCAAACTCTGTACGTGCTAGCTTTGAGGAGGAGCTTGACTCCGCCATTGCTCACTGCGGGAGGACTGATTTCCTTGAATTTGGAGACTTTTGCCGAGGTAAATATGAAAATTAACGCGATACCTTCTCGATTAACCCTTATGTCAATAACCAGAATTGTCGTCTACTTTATCGTCCAATTTTAGTAGTTTTCTGATAACAAAATACTAGGATAGGAAATTTTACCTGGAAGATCAAATATTTTAAGCGAGAATTATGCAAAGGGGTACCCGGTTATTGACATAAGGGTTAACAGAGAAAAAAGGGACACTAGAATGGTCATAAGAAATATTTCTAGATCTTAAAAGGGTCCGTTTCCTTTTTCACGGTAATGAAATCGACATAAACAGCGAGGAATTGATAACCGGGACGAAAGGAAGAGTACAACACTCGAAGAATTTGTTAATAATTCTTTGACCTGTTATGCAATTGGACAGTATACAGGATTATTCAAATATATAAGTTCTAATTCTCACAAATTTTTTTGAAATACATTGACAAGTCCATTAGATGTATCGGTTTACTCTTCAATTTATTTTCTGTACTTTCTACTGCGACCATTTATTATAATCCTCCGTGGACAGTGTTGAAAATTCGATCAAAATCGTTCCCCTTGTTCTCCGCGACAGTGATGCAAAAGTACGTGAGAAATGTGAATAAAGAAACGGTGTAGAAAATCGATGCTCCATTCTGTTAGCTAACAGTAAGCTATTTCTAAACTGAAGTTAACACGGCGATACGTCAGACAGTTTCCGACACCCTACTTGTCATGTCGTTACAAATGACATATGTTTAATTGATACCAACCACCACTGAAACGATTATACTCACTTAACGTGCGGTAAAATAATGGAGCGCCGTGCATACGTCATTTCTGAACTAAAACATCATTTACATACGTTTATTCAATATATGTGTAAAATAGATATATTATGCAGATCGAAGACGTTCACGACTCGTACCTGTTCATAATAGTCGCTTTAATCATGCTGTCGTTCAGTATCACTCTAGTCAGGGTTAGTCAATTTTCCATTCCACGCAAAATAAATATAATCTGCTTTGTTAAATGATATAATCGAGCGTTTGAAATTAGACGTCCATGATGGACCCTTGCATGGAGTTCTACAAGTATTGCGCTTTCTTGGTGGTGCAACTGGTTCATTTGCTTTTCCTTTCTATCCAGGGACACTTTGTTATACTCTCGCATGACATGACTTACGACAACATGTGAGTAGCCGTTCTTACGCGAATTTCACTGGAAGTTAAAAATTGCCAGGAAATTTCACTCGTTCAAAAAAAAAGAAAATGCAATTATCAGTTCTATCGTACCTCGAAGATTTCAGGAGTTGTTCGTTCGCAGATATAGCGCAAAATGGTACAACAGTTCGCCGAGAACGCAAACTCTGTACGTGCTAGCTTTGAGGAGGAGCTTGACTCCGCCATTGCTCACTGCGGGAGGACTGATTTCCTTGAATTTGGAGACTTTTGCCGAGGTAAATATGACAATTAACGCGATACCTTCTCGATTAACCCTTATGTCAATAACCAGAATTGTCGTCTACTTTATCGTCCAATTTTAGTAGTTTTCTGATAACAAAATACTAGGATAGGAAATTTTACCTGGAAGATCAAATATTTTAAGCGAGAATTATGCAAAGGGGTACCCGGTTATTGACATAAGGGTTAACAGAGAAAAAAGGGACACTAGAATGGTCATAAGAAATATTTCTAGATCTTAAAAGGGTCCGTTTCCTTTTTCACGGTAATGAAATCGACATAAACAGCGAGGAATTGATAACCGGGACGAAAGGAAGAGTACAACACTCGAAGAATTTGTTAATAATTCTTTGACCTGTTATGCAATTGGACAGTATACAGGATTATTCAAATATATAAGTTCTAATTCTCACAAATTTTTTTGAAATACATTGACAAGTCCATTAGATGTATCGGTTTACTCTTCAATTTATTTTCTGTACTTTCTACTGCGACCATTTATTATAATCCTCCGTGGACAGTGTTGAAAATTCGATCAAAATCGTTCCCCTTGTTCTCCGCGACAGTGATGCAAAAGTACGTGAGAAATGTGAATAAAGAAACGGTGTAGAAAATCGATGCTCCATTCTGTTAGCTAACAGTAAGCTATTTCTAAACTGAAGTTAACACGGCGATACGTCAGACAGTTTCCGACACCCTACTTGTCATGTCGTTACAAATGACATATGTTTAATTGATACCAACCACAACTGAAACGATTATACTCACTTAACGTGCGGTAAAATAATGGAGCGCCGTGCATACGTCATTTCTGAACTAAAAGCGTGATTAAAGCCGGCAGCATGGTGGTAGCGAAAAAAAGAAAGGCTAACCGTTCTTAGCTCACCAATGCGTACTAATAAATTATTCGTGCCGATACATTAGCACGGCAAACTGGCGCCTAAGGAATATCCGTCGTAATGAATCGAATTATTTCCTTTCTTGCCGCACAACGAGAACGAGTTTCACCGTCGAGTACGAAACATCCATCGCCGTCTCAATTATGGAAGCGAGCGACGTGGAGAGGAATTATTTGTACCTGAGCAAAAGATGCGGAATTGTGTCTGGTATATGGCCGTACGGAAACGATCGAATAAAATGGATCGGACGGACAACGGTGTTATTCATCGGTGCTACATCGTTAATTACTCAGGCATGAGCAAGCTTAATTGCACTTCAAATTCTACTTACATTTCGGAAATCTATAGATTTCACCATCGCTTTTCCCCTTCGATTTTTATTCATCCACTTTGTCCACAAGATCATTTTATACAGGAATTTGAAAAAAGTTCGATCCTAGATTGCACACGTCGTAATGAATTTGAGTACGGATACTATGATAGAACAATGCGCGTATGTTGTGCTGGCCGTGGGAATAATCTTAAAAGAGATGAATTACATAATACACGCGAGAGAGGTGAGATTGCCGTATTTTCGTTAATTTCTCTGTTTAGATGATCGATAGAAATGTATCGTACGAAATTGCAGCTAAAGACACTATTCGAATGCATATTCAACGATTGGATAACGAGACGACCGAAAAGCGAGATGGAAATAATGGACAAGTATGCGAGGAGGGGCCTGTTTTTCAATCGCTTGTACGTCGGTAGGACATGATTCGCGTTGAGAATGTTTCGTTAAGAGAGAGAAACTAATTAAACATGAATACAATCGCTTCCGTAGAAGATCGGAATGAAATTTCTTCTCACTTCTACCCGATATTATTGTACTGTTTATTCATTTTCTTCAAATTTCACAGCAAACGGAGTGTTTTGCTACATCATGTTCAGCTCGGCGCCTTTTATACCGCATTTTATCGATGTTGCGTTGTCGAAAAACGAGTCACGAAAATTAAGTTTGATGTACCCTGCCTATTACGGCATTGACCAGGACAAGTATTATTATTATCTAATGGCTCACATGATGAGCGCAGGGGCAGCGGTGTTTTTCGTATTTATGTCCTGCGACACGATTTATATGAATATCGTTCAACACGCGTGCGGATTGTTGTTCATTTCCGGGTAAAAGAATTAGCAGATTTAATCCAAGTATCTTCTGGGAACGTTTAATCGAATTGAATTGATTTGGAAACTTTCTCAGGCATCGTTTTAAGTGCGCAATCGAAGATGACGGGGCTGACGATGAAAAAGTGAATCCCACGATGCTGGAGGATATGCACGGAAGAGTGCGCCACTCAGTTAAGGCACATCAGCACGCCATAAAGTCAGTATGATCGTTTAGAAATTCTTTTGACCACGTTCTGGCGTACAGGACGTTCAACTAGCTTTAATATTGAATTGAAGGAATTTTCTTTCAAGCCATTCTAAGTCAAAAATGTGATCTGGTAATTTCTACTGAAAACTCAAAAATTCGATACAAAGTATTATACTTATCTCCCGATGTTTTCAAAGGTCTGCAATCATAGAAACCATGACCATACTTGGCACGAGGTATACTACAAGCACACACAATTCCAGAACGACACGGCAGTGGTGAACGAGAAATTCGACGTGTAAGAAGAGTTTTCGTAGACGTCTATACGAATGTACTGAAGTATTTCTTCTCACTCGCTCACGAAAAGATCGCAGCTGCTATGGACGATTTTCTTCCGATAAAACAGTAGTTTTTTAATTTCTAATTTGATCTCATATTCAATTTCATTTTACCATACTTTCGTTTCATTTCGTTCAGTTAACTTAACTTAGGTTTCCCTTTTTCGTTGCGTGTGCGATATGTGAAAGTGTTTGCAAAACATGTGCATGTGATTTATGTGAGAAATTATTTCAACTGAAAATACCGTCGGATGAGTTTCTACATGGCCTTACGAATTTTTGCAAATGGGCAAGTTTAATTTCGTTCTACG